GTTTAGTTTTGAGGAAATGATGAGACGTTCTGCCTGCCAAACATGGGACAGTACTTTAAAGTTGTATGATTTATTAATTTTTACTGTGAAGTTTTCATTTTGTTTTACAAAAATGCAATAGTTTGTGCAGAAAATAAATATTTGAAACGTWTTGTTTGTGTGGATGAACGTGTGTCAGATTTCTGTAGCGATCATCTCCCTATAACATCTCTGTAAATGTACGTTTCAGTGAAGTTTTCACTCTACAGCTCACTGGGAACACCGTATCACTCTGTTTTCCCTGTTTCTGATGCTCTGCGTYGCTCCCTGCCAGGGTTAACGTGATAAGACAGAGAAGAGCCAGATTCTTGTGCAACAATCTGTTGCTGTCTTACTCGCTTTGCCTCTAAAACATGTTACTTTCAGTCTCCTTTCAGAACCCGTCTTTCCATGAAACAATAACTCATCTTTATCCAAGAAAAGCTGTGATATAAAGGAATTAATATGATTTTTATAATCAAATTTATGATGGGTGAAAGTAGAGGATAAGTATTTTGTTACTGAAGCATATTTCTTTTTGATTGAATGACTTTCGTACTGCTCAATATGAGACAAATGATTGGTCTTTGTGAACAATCAGTCTTTCTGTAATTACTGTTTAGTCTTTAAAGACTGATCCAGGTTTATTTGTTAACTAACTTGTGGAGGCTTTAATAAATTCAGCTGAGAGCAAAACAAGAACAAATTACTTGATCTTTTTTCCCTCATGAATAAGAAATAAAGTCTATTAAAAAATAGATTTTCCAAAAGAACCTGTGCTCTTTTAAAATTGGATTTTTCCTCCTTTATCTTTCCTGCAGCTGATGCCTACATGTTGTGACTTTCTTCTTTTCTTTTTTTAAAGTGACGTAGGTATCGTAATTGTGTTGTCTGTCTTTGAGCTTGAGAAAAAAAATTGCTTTTGACTTGCAAATATTTCCAACATAATTTGGACAAATGGCTTGTGGGAAATGTCCGTGCTTTGGCATTCAGTGTCCTCCTCGTTCTCCTCTCTAAAGGTTAATAGTATCTGCTCTCCATGAGCGAGTCAGTGGACGTAACTGAGGCGTTCAGTGGCAAACACAGCCTGGTTACGGCCTTCCTGTTTCTCTCTCTGAAGGGGGAGAAGGAGCGTGTCAGATTTTATTCTTGTGGGGTGTGATACATGGAGAGCAGGGAAGCTTTAAACGGATATTGAAGAAAGTGACTTTGCAGCAAATTGAAATGATTAATGTGAACTGTGTGTGTGTGTGTGTGTGTGTGTGTGTGTGTGTGTGTGTGTGTGTGTGTGTGTGTGTGTGTGTTTGTGTGTGTAACAAGATGTTTTTACTAAATGTGTCCTTTCTTTGTCCTCCACATTGCAGCTATGGAGACATGGTCCCGAAGACGATTGCAGGGAAGATCTTTGGKTCCATCTGCTCTCTGAGTGGGGTGCTGGTAATTGCCCTCCCTGTGCCTGTCATCGTGTCCAACTTCAGCCGTATCTATCACCAGAACCAGAGGGCAGACAAGCGGCGGGCGCAGAAGATGCAGGTAGGCCCCGTTTTATTTGCCTTCAGACGGGCCTCAGAGGTTTCGACCTGCAGACACCCAGGCCAGGGGGCCGAAGGTCTGACAGTCTCTCTACCCAACAGGACAAGACTCCACATGGCTCAGGCTTTCCTTGTGTTTTTATGAGGATGATATAATTTAAAGGGGATCTATTATGCAAAATTCACTTTTTAAAGGTTTTTTTACTCAACTTTGAGTATGTACTTCTTAAAAAAACAGTCCTAGGACCAGAAAAATGCACCCAGGGGCATATTTACTGTAAGTAAATGTATTTTTAATGTATATTAACGACTATTTTTACTTCCATCATTTTGTGATGTCACAAGCCATATGACAGCCCACCGGAACCTGCGTTCAGCCCTTCACCTAGCAACCCCCGGATGAGACCCCACCTCCTCAGTATAAAAAGCCGTCACGGTTGTTTTTGTGCAATGCGCAGCTCATTTCACAACAAGCCTCCAATAGGTCAATGGGTAGAGTGTTGGACCAGAGAATGGGATACCAGGGTTTGAGACCGGCACGGACACAACTTAATTATTTATTTGTTTTTGTTCATTATGAACACGTTTTCTCATGTACCTCTATTGTTTAGCTTATTAAAGCCTTGTTAAAGCCTATTTGTTCAAGTTTCTGAGGTATTTTCACTGCTGCTTCTCCCTGCTCTGGTAACAGCATGCAGAGTGAGCGCAGAGCAGAGGAGGGAGAAAAAAAAMGAAGCTGCGACCACGACTCTGCCTCTGGGTCTCATAGGGTCTCATATGGTTGTACAACGGAGCTTCTGCTATTATTAGCCATGCTAACATAAACGCTGGCTTTGAAGGGCGGAGTTAATGTCAACAGATTTTTGGAGGGCGTTACCAACAGAGCTCATTAACATAAACAGCTCTTCTGGACGGAAGTCAGAGCAGGCAGAACTAGAAAATGGGAAATTTTATTATCTGATAATTATTTTGTGCATTAAATTGAATGAACATGGTCTGGATAGCCCCCAGATATACCATAACAATTTCTAGGACCCATAATTGGTCTCCTTTAATATTTACAGAAGTATTTATCTACCTTGTCTAGTGAGTATCACCACTTCACAACTACCTTGATCTGTACACTAACACCTTCTTGTATGTTGTTGTACTTTATAAAGTGTTTTAAGGGGTAAAAATCTCTAATAAATCTGTAAAACCAATGTTAATTAGTAAATTTCAAATCACTTTCTATAAAGAAAACTTTCCACCAAAAAAAGGCTTTTATGCAACAAAGTGATAGGGCCAGATTAAGATAAATACTTTATATATGTATATATTTTTCATTACTAGACTAAATTCATAAAATTACCAGAATAATCAAAATAGTAGTCTATTAATAATATAGTCTAAATCAGGGCTATTCAACTGACGGCCCGTGGGCTACATCCAGCCCGTGAGTGACCAAAGTTTGGCCTTCCAATTGGTTCATTTATATCTTAAGCTCAAATCCCCGGTTTTAGTTACTCTAAGTTCTTTTAGTTAAACATAGACACGTTTGGCATCTACAGAAATGTCAGAATCTTGGCTACAAGCTGATAAAAACAATTTCTATGAACACTCAAGACAGTTAAAACTACAAGCAGTTGGAAGATAAAACAATAAAAGTGGAAAAAAAATTGGTTTAAATGTTTGGAAAGTCAGAGATGTCAAATAATTATTTGTGTTAAAAATGAGGCATAGTGTTCTTTTTGTTTTTGATATTGTTTTATTATCACTACTTTTATAAGGTTCTATATTGTATTCATGATTAAAAACAGCAAAATAAACTAATTCAAAGGTAACAGATCTTTGTAATACTTGGTTTATTTACATAATAACTTTAACTGCTGGATGTTCGGCCCCTCAGCTGTTGACCTGCAGTAACTGTGGCCCCCAGAAGAATTTAGTTGAMTAGCCCTGGTCTAAATAATATGAGAATAAAGTTCTAATAATAACAGAATAAGGTTCTCATATCATTTAGTTTCCTACACAAAAAAGCAGTGTTACACCATCTTAAAATGCAGAAGCATCTTCTGAAATCATACTTTATCAGATTTACAAATTAGAAAAAAAGATAATTTAACATATCAGCATCAAAATTTTATCAGTAACAGGACTCTTTGAAACAACTGTGTCTATTCTGAAGACTCTGTCTCTCATAATATTTAGACTTGATTCTCATAAATTCATTGCCATTACTTTATTTTTGTAATATTATGACTTTATTATTGTATTATTACAACTTTATTTTCATATTATTTCGACTGTATTCTGTAATATTATGACTTTATTCTCATAAAAAATTAAAAATTGTCTTAGTCCGTCATACTTTTAAACCTTTTTTTAACAATTACCATTATACTTAAGACATTTAAACATATTTTTCATCACAGTTTTTCATGATTGTCAACAAAGAGACTAATATGATTTTGTAAATCATTCACAGATAAGCCTGTTATCATTAGCGTTACATGTTTTTTTTAATGCTGTTGTCCTAAGGTTGGAGCTGAAGCAACCTACAACCAGAAACAGTATCTCATCAGACTGGAATATGTAGTCTGTTTAATTCTTCATATCAGGCCCTCTGCATCTTCCTTCAATGTCCAAACCATATCCTCTGATTTTTCTCCAAAAGAAGTGGCAACTTTGTTTTTTGAGATTGTTCTTTCAGGTTTAATCTAAACATCTTACAATAAAGTTTTACTTTCATTCGTCTCCATCCTCTTGTGCATTCAGTCACAAAGGGTTGAAACTTTCGGCTAGAAAATTGAAAGCTTTGCCTTGGATTATGCACCTTATGGCAAAACCTGTGGGGGAGATGGTAAAGCTTGCAGTTATTCATGAAAAAGATTATCTACATTTGAAATTTTATTAACACCTAATAGAAAAGATAAACATGAGTCCAAGGGGATTTTCCACCACCTGTGAAGTTGATTTGATTTCATCTATAACTCGTGCCTGTTTCAGCAATTTATTAACATTGACTAAGCTAATAGCTGCACCTTTTAAAAACCAAGAAATGGATCCCAATTTCCAAACTCACAATGGTCTGGATCATGTGAACAAAACTTAAACAGTTTCTGGGTTGCTTGAACACAAATCTGATTAAAACCAAATGGACCGTGTCCTCAAGAGACAGTCTTAAGTTTTTTTTTTTTTTTGTATTTGGGTCATCAGTATTAATGTTAAAGGCAAAAACAATAAGATGGGATTATTCAGAAGTCTGAAAGCTGCATTAAAGAGCTTTTTTTCTGTCCTACTTTGTCTATATTTAATTAATATCTCTTTTTTCTTTGAGGAAAATTCTCATTATGTTAAATGTCGAYTACACTCAACACTTTATTCATTTAAATCCACAAGTTTTATGCTTTTTTCACTTTAATATGATCAAAAACTTTAAGCCTTGTAGGGTTTCACACMTACACCTCTTATAACAWGGTTATAAGGATATTATTTTAGCAAGGATCTTTTTATTTTCGGKAAAATATTCTTCCCGTGCAAAGTGAATGGACACATAAAAGTGACTCTTAGYCAGAGAATTTTGATTTGATCCATAAATAAATGTGATTGTTTATTTTCAYACCAAACAAAATCACTACAGTACACTTAATTGTGAGCAATCAATTTCCTTTAAAAAGTTTAAAAATCAGCAAAATCCAGATCACATCTGAACTTAATTGTTCATCAATTCAGCACTTAAAATWGACAGCAAATATCAAGCTTAGATATTGAATACTAGACAWTTGAAGGAAAATAACTTAGGTTGGTTTGGCAAGGCAAGGATTTAAGAGAAAGTAGGAAGTAAGATGTTAGCTTTCCTAACTTATCTTAGGTAAATGTAATGTGAGAACCAGAAGAGCAGCGTCTCCTCCTCGACATCCGCCAGACCGGTGACACTTGATAAATACAGCCAGCTTCACCTTAACGATGACGGTCGAGTCACGATTCAGGTAGTAGGGAGGTCGAACAGTGGCAAGAAACCGTTGCGGCCTCCTGCTTGCTTGGACTCTCCGAGGCACGAGTTACACTTTCAGCACCAGCTTGGTCCATGTCAGTCGTAACGAGGAGGTCAGGCTCACTGGTCCTGGATCTTGGGTCMAAAATAAAACTTGCTTCCCACAGGAAGTCAAGACAAAATTGCTTTGAGCTGTGAGCTTTGGTTTGGGGTCACACCCAGGAATGGATGTGCCCCGGCTGGGAAACTCATCCTTTGGCTTATGGACRAACTTCTCAGCCAAACACWCTAGTTCTCCRGGAGGGGAACAGCGGAGGTTGTTGTGATGGAAGTGGGTCCGTCTTCTTCTGACCTTGACTGTCGGGTGGAAACTGTGTTAGYCATTTAAAGAGGTTCCGTTAGTTTCCACCTTCAGAGGTTAGRTTAGAAAACAKGAAGATAAGGAAAATRTCAGTTCAGAGACTTGCTGTCGCCTCCTGAAGCTAAACAAAGATTATTGCTTCTGTGTAGTTCAGAAACAAAACCTATCATGACCTGTTTACTTATTTTCTGATGAGAACTCTTTAAAAATATAACTGAAAGAATGAATTGCTTCAAACTCAAAACATTTGCGAATATGATTCAGACAAATAAAACATTWATATTTCATCAACTTTAAACCACAAGAATTAGTTTAGATAAATAGGATTTTTGCACAGAAAATCCATACATAGCTGAAATCATACTGAGGAAAAAAATAGATCTGTCCTCTTTTCTCCTGTAACTTTGATAAACAYTCTCTGATTATCAAAATGCATAATAACTTTCAGTTAAGAGAASRMTAAATCAAATAAAAAGAAGAYTATTCTGTTTRTTATCTGATTAAGAAAAAGAGAACGTCTCTTTTACAGGTTAAGGCGACCTGAGGTGGCCTAAATTCAGTTTTAAGTGGAACAGATTTTTGTCTCTTTAAAGGCCCATCAGAGGACTGAGGTCCAAGACAGTTTCCTTGATTATTTCACTCGAGGTGACCCCTACAGCCTAAA